CACACACACACACACACACACACACACCAGACCACCTCCATGTTCCTCATTAATCTGCCACCCAACCTGAGGATTCTAACAGTAAACCACCAGTGTGTGTGTGTGTGTGTGTGTGTGTGTGTGTGTGTGTGTGTGTGACTTCTCACATTCCTCAGTTGAACTTCATGTCAACATAAACTGTTAACAACTGAGGACGGACGTTAGAAACACTAGAAATTCTAGAAACGTCCGATTTATTCATCCTCAACCTCTGCTCCTTTTCTAGTCGTCAGGGGGTCAGGAGGTCAGGGGGGCGGGGGGCGGGGGGGCGACAACCTGGACTCGTCTCTAGTCCATCATCAAAATCAGTTAAAAATTTAGAATGAAACATTAAGTATCACAGGGCCCCCTGGAGGCCTGGGAAAGAAATGCCCCCGGCCGTCTGTGCCCTCCACCACAGACGGGCGTCTGTGGCCTCCACCACAGACCTCTCCATAAAACTGCTGTGAGGTTGAGGCAGGTACACGCAGCAGCAGGAGACCTCATGTAGAGAAAACATCTGGGTTGTGGGCCACCAGAAGGACCGCATCGCCACCTACAACTGGACCCTCACTGCGAGGCTCGAACTGGAGGGTGGGGGGGGTTGTTTCCCAGCCACATGGTGGCGCACCGTCTCTGACAGCTCTCAGGCTGAACGTGAAACGTCCCCAAAACGTCTGAGGACGAGTTCAACAGTCGACTTCTGTCTACGTTTGGTTTGAAGACTTGAAGAAGAAAATGAATAAAGAGACAACACCTGCTCCATTCAGTGTTGTCCTAGTGAGTACTCTACAGAGTACTCTGCAGAGTACTCTGTAGAGTACTCTACAGAGTACTCTGCAGAGTACTCTGTAGAGTACTCACTAGGACAACACTGAATGGAGCAGGTGTTTTCAGGGATGTTGACTGTGTTGTAGTTCTCAGTTCAGTCCATAGGTGGTGCATGTGTGATGAGGTGACGTGGGCCGTGGAGGATGTTCACCGTCGACTCAGTGAACCACAGCTTTATTATCACGAAAAACCTCAGTCCGAGTCTTTCCATTTTCTTTACGGAGAAAAAGTCGACTTTCAGTGGACACGCCCCTAAAACCTTGGACGTGGAAGTCTGCGTCTCTGATTGGCTGCGTCGCCCCGGCTGACAACACCTGCTTAGCTCCTTCATCCAAATTGACACCCGGGGCAGTGGGAAATATAGACAGCATCTCCTCCAGAGGCTGCACTCAGTCCGACGGAGAGAAGCTGCGGATGCGCTGATCCAGGCTGAACACACACACTGGCACACACACACTGACACACACTCTCTCTCTCTCTCTCCCTCTCTCTCTCTGTGCCTCACACACACTGACACACACAGTCACAGAGCCACTCACACACACTCCGTGGGATCCTTGCAGCAAACCCGAAGCCACTGTGTGGAGACGCGATGTTGCAGAAGGCGGCGGTGGCGGTGCTGGTTCTGTCGGTGCTGCAGAGCGCGGCCGTGGACTCGGAGAACACGGAGAGCTACGACGTTCCGCCGGAGAAGCCCGTGGGCCAGAAAGGACGTCTGTCCCTGCAGAAACCAGGTGAGAGGACACTTGTTTCAGCCCGGACTCAGGGCTGCGTTTTTAAT